TCCTCCGCCGCATCCTCCGCCGCCTCCTCCGCAGCCTCCTCCGCAGCTTGGTGGTGGTGGTGGTGGAGCACATCCTCCGCCGCATCCTCCGCCACCTCCTCCGCATCCTCCTCCACAGCTTGGAGCTGGAGCGGCGCAGCCACCGCCGCAACCGCCACCACCGCCTCCGCATCCACCGCCGCCTCCGCAGCCTCCGCCGCATCCTCCGCCACAACCTCCGCCGCCGGACATTGGGAAGAGGAACGCGTCAAGTGGCGCGGCCAAAAGAAGTACCGCAATTAAGTGAAGGTAGAACATACCCTATAAGCATTTGAATGAAATAAAAAAATAGAAAAACAAAACAGATAATCGTTCAAAGTTATGAAAATTCAAGTATTGCCGAAAAAGGGATGTTTTGTAGTAAATGAATACTAAAGAAGCTGTGTAATGAAAGTCTATCTTGAAATCTCCTTATATACTAGTAGCCGTAAACTGGACTGTGCTTTGTCCGCCAATTACATTACCAGTTCTTTCGGTTAGCTATCAAGCCAAACTCATTTGCTATCATCTCATATCGCATGTGATCTGTATCATCTCTTCATTAATAGTATACATGTTGATGAAAAGTAGTTGTCTGCAAACTTTTTTTTTGGTGTCTGAACATTAGTTAAGCTTCAGATAGAACCTTTAGAAAATCAAAATATTTTTTTTTGTAACAAAAAATCCCTGCAGATAAAGTTGTTGGAAAAGTTGGAAAAGTTGTAAGAAATGTTGAGCTTTGAGTATTGTTCTCTAGCAGTTTCTTTTATGAAGATTTGCCTACTGATTTATGTTTTTCATAAATGATGAATTGAACTGGAAAAGCTTCGTTGTACATAGAGAGGTTCTTGCCCGTCATTTGAACTTTTTCTTCATTTTCAATCCTCAAAAATGGATTAATGTGTTTGTTACTGAACTTCATCATAATTGTTTTGTTTCTTTGTTTCTATTTCAAGAATGTTCCGAAGAATCATTGTTAACAGTGGATGATGGTTTTGGAGAGTCTTTTCATTCGTGCACATGGCGTCTGCCTCTCTCTCACTCTCTATGACTGTCTCATCTTGCACTCTCATATACGCCTTTCCATTTTCGATATACTTTGTTGTTGTGAAATGCAATTGTTGTGATGTCCAAATAAACAGTCAGCCTGATACAGTTATACAATATAACAATGGTTTAACTATGAGTTTACGTCATCATATCTTCAAAATAAAAGATTTTGGAATAAAAGGTTTGTTTGAGCAACTGCTTACCAGCCTTTTTTTCCTTCAGTTATATAAAGGAAAATGGATGAAGATACATTATGCTTCTGTTGGCTCATCACCTACTTCGCACTTCCAATATGGTAAGTGAAACAGCTCCTCAAAGCTTATTCATACTCATTTTCAATATTTCAGATTTTCTATTGCTTTTTCCTCCTGATTGCTCTGGCACACGCTGAAGATAGTGAAGACTGTACGAAAAGCGAGACAACTAGTTACTGCGGAGGCCTGTTCGAAAATAAGACCCATTGCTTTGATGAGGACGAGAAATACGCCAACTATTTGAAGGTTTTCTTTGAATTCATTCTCAATTGCTCATTATTGTCTTCAATCAGGAGTGTCTCGTAACCTGTAATGCTTGCGATACATACTCATGCTCTAACCCTCAACCAGATACAACTTTCAACTGTACAAGTCTGAAAGACAAATGTTCCGATCCTGTATGGGAGAGAATCATGAGAGTAAGATAATAGTGTTGAAAAAGAAGTAATAGAAACATCTTCAAAGGATAAATGCCCTCAAACTTGTGGACGATGCGGACTTCTCAATGGAAAGCTATGCGAAGACACGGCTGGTACCGACGTTTGTGTAGGCATGAAGGTAAATCAAACTGATGTCTTCGTTATTCGACTCTCTCTCACAACAGGATCTTTGCAATTCCGTAGAGTACTACGATACGTTGACGCAACAATGTGCTTCCACATGCAATCGTTGTCCAAATGATCCAAATGCTGCAAGTAGGACAGAGCCACTAAAGCCATATTCAAGCTTCAAACAATTTGTATTTTAAGAAACATTCGGAACATGTGCAGACCAAGCAAAGAATTGCGAACAGAATTTAGCCAAATGTAATGATGCCAATTACTCAGAACTAATGACGAGAACATGTGCTAAGACATGTAACAAGTGTGGTTTAGGTTGTGTTGACGCCGATCACAGGTTTTGACAGAAAACACATAAATAACAACCATTTCATTGATTAACATTCCTTTCAGATGCGCAAGCTGGAATCAGAAAGGCTATTGTACAAGCACCAAATACAGCCAAGCTGACAAGAAGAAATCGTGTGCTAGAACATGTAATATGTGCTCTACGCGTCCTTAATTATTCATTGTATTCGCACATAAGCATATTCTATTGAAGTAAAGTAATTCATCTGATACAGTTGTTGAATTGTTAGAGACATCCATACTGGTTTGTTGTTTTGAATCTGAAAGCTGGAAAGAACGCAACCGAATGACTTGATGTCAAAACCCATATATGGATTGATACATATGATATAAACTTTATAAAAAGAATATATACATCATCATCATCATCCGTAAAAGATCATTTTTTTCGTTATCTAATCGAAATGTACGTTCATATTTCAATTCATCTTAATTGTATTGTGATGGATGATGTAAGCAAGTTAATTGTCTAAGTTAAACCGGATTTCACAAGCTTGATTTACATGAGCTAGGCGTGCGTATAATCAGTCATATAGAGCCTTCTATAGTTGGATAAATACACGATATGCAGATATGCTAGAAGATTACTCTAATATTTGGGATGCAACCGTTCTTGACATACATGAAATATAAAAATAAATTCCATTTGAACATACGTTCGCATGCGTGCTCGTACGCGTGTGTATCGTATGCGTACGCCAACGCACAATTAGCATACGTGATAGCATTTCACGTGCAAATGACATTGAACGCTACTAAAGAGTAGATTAGAATACGAAAAGAGCTGCAGACATTCAATATCAACAAATACTTAACAGGTGAATAAAAAAATTGTTATTATAGAAGATATTATAATGATATTTAGATTATTTATAAGTTGGAACTATACAAAAAAATATAAAAAAATATATTTCCTCCAACCAAAGGCTAATATCCAATGCTATACAGATCTACATGAAGATTGAAAAATATATAGAATTCATTAATGAAGTAATAAATAAACATCTGAAAACAGGTTCAGGATTATCTTCATTTCCTTCTTCACTAGTCCCAGTGTTCATGTGTTCCGATATGATTCTATGCGTTATGTGGGTGTGTATGACTAGTGTCTGCGTGTGTGTGTGCATCCTCCAATTAGTTACATTTATGAATTTTCATACTACTAAGTGAAACGGAGGACAACGTTATAGACAATTGTATTATATACACCTTACAAACAGGATAATTCAAGTCGACTTTTAATTGAATTATGATTTTTTTATTTTATATGCGCACGTTACGCGTTATACCAAGAGAAGTAACTTATCTATACATACAATCGTGCGCCGTACACTGTACGACCACCTCACCTCGACTCAATCTCTTGTGGCTCAAGAGATGAGCTTATCGCCATGGGTGAGAAGGCAAAAAATAAAAATTTTTTATCTCTCCTCATCGTCCAAATTTTTAGTTTTTCTTCATTTTTTCTTCGCAACAATATATGGTTCCCTGGAGAGAATGTGAGAAAATCTATTTTTTTACATATTTTACAGACTATCAACGTCTACTGTTTATTCATTCAACAACTTTTGATTAATGATCTCTATATAGCTTAAAGAATAAAAAAAAATATTTTTTTATACTTTCTTCTGTTCTCTGTTGAAACATTAACAAGATGAGCCTTGAGAGTTGAGTTGAGTTGAGATGAATTGAGAGAGGGAGAGAGAGAGAGAAATGGAGATAGAGAGAGCTGACAAAAAACATTTTGTTTCGTTCCACACATCTCCACCCTTCACTACTTCTATCTCCGCCTCATTTCAACCCATCCTCTTCACTCATTTTTGATTATTCAGTTTCCAATTGGTCTTCAAACGAAATTATTATCAGATCCATTGAGTAGTGCTGTCTATCATCAAACAGCTGTTGCTTAAGAGAAGTGATACTTCAAGAAATCATTCGCCTCAATTCCCTCATCATTTTTTTTCGCACAAAAAATGTTATTTTTAATGAATATGTATGTGTATGTGTTCGTAGTCACAGTAGAATCATAGAATGAGACGATGAATGAAAACGAGAGCGACACAAGACTAACTGAGAATATAAAGGAGCAATGATGTTTATTTTTTTGTTTATTTATCCATCATTACGCCTCCTGAGACATAAATCTTAGATGAAAGAAGAAAATGATTGAATGACTTGTATTCCCTTTTTCAGTTCTCAAATACATTTTCTTACGGTAATTCGCCTTTATCACTATCAACAATAATAACGATGACGATGCTGTGCGATAGCGTTTCTCTCCCCCCCCCCCCCTCCTTTAGCATCTACATTTCAACATGAAGTTTTACATCTACTTGACCCAAATTTGGTCATTTAACTGTCTGGATGAGCAAATAGACTCTTACTATCCTGATGAGGTAAGTCTATTTCTTTCTTCAAGTCTCAATCTCTCACCATCTCTCCCTTCCTTCCTATTCGTGCTTCCAACCAAAATGAAAAATGAAAAACCGTTCGTTGTGAGTCTTACATCCATTTCCATGTTCAAATTCATATCATATTTCGACAAGAAAAAAATCTTTAATAGTTCATCTGAAGTTTGTTATAACATGGAAGTGAAAGAAGTGCTTATGAAGCTTATTTGAGAAAACAGTAGCTCCTCCTACTTCATTCCAATTCCACATCACTATTGCCATTGAATTAAAGATCGCTGAGGTTGGTGTCTTTCACTTGTGTCTCAAATATATATTAAATTATATAATAAATATATATATTTATATATTTATAGATATGTGTCTATCTGCCTTGCATCCTATTCACTCTCTCTCTCTCTCCTCCTTTTCCTCATACAACCCTTCTGTCACGTCTTTTCTTCCTCTTCACTTGTAGCAGGTGATCAAATGCGTAATGTAACCAGCCACAAACGGAATTTCAACATTCATTTCCGAAAATACCTGTAATATGTTTTGTTATTTTGGTCATGGCAATGTATCTGCACATTCGCGCCCCGGTATGTATCGCTGTGAAGTGGTTGTGGTGGTGTTGCTTGAAAAGGAGGAGGAGAGAAGAAGTAATACAGATAGAGAGAGATAGAGAGAGTAAGAGCTCAAAAGCTTGGCAGTCCTTTTTTCTTCTGGCGTTTCTCTCTCTCTTTATATATCCTATTACATTTATTATTTGAAATGAAACTTTCATCTCTCATATCCGCACTCCATTTTTTCATTTCATTCATGGCGTGAAATATGTAAATGCATTTATTACGTACAACATTTTTGGTGAAAGAAGATGAAATTGTAATGACGAACTCTCTCTCTATCATTCTCTCTCTTTATTATATATTATATACATATATAATTGTTGAAATATTTATAAGAAACTAGGAATATCCATGCACTCCAATCTAAGCATAAGCATACAGCCTACCTTACATATTCATTCCATACACGTTTGGTCAACATCAGACAGATATTCATCTACGTGTGCTACTCACGTGAACCTCATTGCTTTTTGTTCTCTTTCGGACATTTCGTTAGTTAGTTAGTTCATTCATCGTCATCTACTATCTCTGTAATTGCTTCATCTACACCATGTTCAAGCTTCCATCCCAATCACACATGCAATGGAGATAGATAGATAGAGAGAGAGAGTCCGTCTTTGCTTCATTTTCTTCTCCTTTTTTTTCCTGTCGTCTCTGTGTAGTCAAAAGGAAATGAGACGAAATGACACAAAGATAGAGAGAGAGAGAGAGATTGAAAGAGAAAGAAGGTTTTTGATCAAATTTCTTCAAAAACTTCGTTTCCAATAAACTAAATTCCTTAATTTAAATCAAAAATCCAAACAACATACGGGCTTTAAATGAAATTCTGAAGCATAGCAAAGCCAATATGAGATCATTTATGTCCTTCTATTAGTTTGAAAATTAGGAAAATTATTGTAAAAATAGAGCTGTAATGAAAAAAAAAAGGAGACGAAGATGAATCTGGATTGAATGTTTGATCACGAAAAGTTGTGACAGGAGAAGAAGGAAGAGAGGGGTGAGAGAGGTGGGGGACCTTTTATATTTTCAATTCACTGTAGAAGAAGGAGAGAGCCTAAGTATGAGGTATGAAGCTTTTAATGAAACAAGTGGAATATTGAAAAAGGGAGAGAGAGAGAGAAAGGGATTGTAAGAGAGAGGGAGAGAGGGAGAGAGAAAGGAATTGTAAGAGAGAGAGGGAGAGAGGGAGAGAGAATTGGGAGAGTTGTGTAGTTTGTGTGTATGAGTGAGCATTAGGTTTATTAGTTTTCAATAATTTTCAATAATGGTAATGGAATTTTGTAATAATGTATGCATGTATATCTGTTATAATACAATAAAAAAGATTTTTCTTTCTTCCAAATATGATTTTTGATTATTCTGCGCTCGAAGAATGCTTTTCAAAGTTCGCCCTGTCATAGTGCGTGCTGTGCCCTCTGTGTGGTACAAAGTGTTTATCTAAAGACCTTACATGACCTTACTGTTTCAACTTTTTGAATTGAATAAATGAAAAAGTTTATATGAGAATATTCACATGATTAGCTTAATGCTACGTTTACGTGAAAGGTCACGTATGCACTACGTACTACGTGGATTTTCATATTTATACTTTGTGTTAGACGTTCAGTAAGCGGTTGATTAGCCTATTCCATCTGAATAGAGCAAATTTCATTTTTTGCTTTTCCACGAGAAAGCTTCTTATTCCATTGCAATTTGCATTTTATGAATTTAAATTTTAATGAGCGAGAAAAGAAGTTTTTCGTCTTCATCTTCTGCATCATCGTCGTGCTTGCAGTTAAAATTCAAAAAAAAAAGAAGAAAAAAAGAAAAAGAAAAAAGAACTGTTGTAATCTAATACTTGAAAGGAAAGATCAAAATTTCGGTTGATTAATGATGTTTTGGAATAAATTATATTATGTTAAATAACTATACGTATAGTTAAACAAAATTATTCTATATTTGGATAGAACCGAAATAAAATTCTTTTTTTTTTCCTTTTTCTCTTCCTTTTTTTGTATCTGTTTTGTGTTTTGTTTTCAAATAGATAGAGAGAGGGAGAGAGAGAGAGAGAGGGAGATATGAAGAGAAAGAGTATTTTGAGAATCATAACAAACTTCTCTCCTTCCTTAGATGACGATACAAGTAAAAAAGAAATAGAAGTA